TGTTATGTAGAAACTAATTTGACAATAAACTATTTGTAAAAAAAAAAAAAACTCTAAAAAAAATTGTTTAGGCCTTTTGGGGGAAAATGAACACAGTTTGAATTTTAAACTATATTAAAATATACCATATGTTTGCACGTATAGGAGGAACTTAACGGAGGACCGTGGGGGAGAAGAAGGGGGAAATAGTGGGGGAGAGGGAGAGAGGCAAACCATGAGAGACTCTTGAATGCCGAGAACAAACTGAGGGCTAATGGGGGTGGGGGGAGGGGAAGGGGGGCGATGGGCATGGAGGCGGGCACTTGTGGGGATGAGCACTGGGTGTTATATGGAAACCAACTTGACAATAAACTATTTGTAAAAAAAAAATTTTAATAAATAAATAAAACAAGAAAACTATATTAAAATATTTAGCATTTTAATATTTCTGCATTCTAACAGACTAAAGGAATATACTGATGTAAAAAAAAAAAAAACCAGAACATTTTTATTTAAAAATACATCATTTTGTTGAAACACCATAACAAAGCTTTGGAGATGATAGTGTTATCATTCCATTCTGATGACACTATTAACACATGCCCACCGAACAGAGGGGAACCAAGGTCAAACACGTATTTTTTAAAGGATTCTAAGGTGTCTGCTCTGTACATCATCGTCTGTCTTCCCTGGGCATAATGTCCGCATTTCAGATATTAGAGGTGGACCCTGAAGTGAATGAGTTTCAGGTGGGACAGACAATTGTCAGAGGATCTGGTTAGACCACAGATATGATCAGATGTGTCTTTGCACCTCATGGTCAAAGGTGAACCTTCTCTTTAAAAAAAAAAAAAAGTCAGTGTGAAATCCCCAGGGCAATGAGTGCTGGCCTTTACCCACCACATCCTGTGCATCTTCCTGGCCTGCTGGTCTCAGTCTCCACGTTCGCCTCACAGAATCGAGGCTATGACTTCCACATTCACTGCGCTGCTCTGCCTTGGTGAGTTCGGTCCTGAGAGGGAGACAGAATCCGGGGTTCTGGGCATGGGGGGAGCGGCGTGGCTCACTGTTCCTGTCTTCCAGGGCTGTATCTGAGCCAGACCATCAGCACCCAGACGCGTGAGTCCCTCCTCCAGAGTCCCAGAGTCTCTCTTCTGGGCTCAGGCTAAGTATTCACCTACAAACAACCAGAGGAGGGATCAGGGGCTCTGGTTTGCTAGGAAGGCGTGAGGCCAGCAACCGGGTGGAAATGTGGGGGGGAAGGCGCTTTATGTGGAACTCCAGCTTCTGATTCCCTTCCAGAGATTCTTTCAAAACCTGTCATCTGGGCCAAGCCCAATTTCATGATTCCAAAGGGAAGGCCAGTGAGGATCTTATGCCAGGGGATTCCTGAGGCTGCTGAGTACCAGCTGTATTTCGAGGGACACCTGTCTGCCCAGCAGAGACCGAGACGACCTGGAATAAGGAAGATAGTCTCATTCCCCATCTCAGCCATGACGCTGCTCACTGCAGGGCGATACAGGTGCATTTACCGAAGCGGGGAGCTCTGGTCAGATCCTAGTGACCCTCTGGACCTGGTGGTAACAGGTAACTGTCCCCTCATCTCTCTGTGGTCATCCCCTGAGCCTGAATCCTGGGGAGGGTCATCGTTTATTAATTTCCTTTAATGTCATCTAAACCTCACTCCACGGTTATCTGTGAGCTAGGAGCGGATTTGTCATAGGTCAGTTTATCCAGGTGAGATGTTCTGAGACCGATGTTTGCATGCATCTGGGGACTATCCTCAAAAATGACCCCTGTGATGAGGAGTGACAGAAACAGGCTACGCAGGAGGCAAAGGTAAACTCTGGTGGTGGTTTCAACAGACATCTCAGCCAAACCAATGTGGAACTCCGGACCGGGATGGCCCTTCCTGGTGGTCTCTAAATGAGGCTAGGGGGTCTCTGCCCACCAGCATCAACCAGGGAGTGGATGAGAACCCCTCCCATGGGGGTTCCATGCAAACATCCATGCTTTTGTGGCACTTGCTTTCTGGCAGAAGACAGACCATGAGTCAAGTTTAGGATAAATCTATCAGTCATAAGCACATGAGGAGGAAATAACAGTGTGGAAAAAGACAGGACAGTACAGGGTTGGGAGGGAAAGCTGCCTCAGTTAAGGAGGCTCAGCTGAGGGATTCTGTTTGCCCACTTAAGCAGGTATCAGAATCACTTGGAGGGTTTGTGAAAACACAGATGGCCTTAGTGCAGTCATGTGCATGAAAGCCCTATTCACAGTGGCCAAAAGGTAGCAACAATCTCAGTGTCTATTGACCAACAGATAAACAGAGTGTGGTCTATACACACAACAGAATATTGTTTGGCCTTAAAAAGGAAGGAAATTCTGACCCCTGCTACAATACGGATGAACCCTGAGGACATTATGCTCAGTGAGCTAAGACAGCCACACATGGACAAACACTATCTGGTTCCACTTCTGTGTGGGACCCAGGATGGTCAAACGCACAGAAATAGAAAGCAGAACGGTGGCTGTCAGGGGCTGGGGGATGGGGATGGGGTGATGGTGTTTAATAATAGGGACAGAGTTTCAGATTTGCAAGATGAAAATATTTCTGAAGATGGATGGTGGGGACAGTTGCACAAAGCAATGTGAATGTGCTTAGTGTCACTGAACTGTACCCTTAAATATGGTTAAAATGGGGGAAGGCCTGGGTGGCTCAGTAGTTTAAGTGTCCAACTTTGACTCAGGTCATGATCTTGTGATTCATGGGTTCAAGCCCCGCGTCGGGCTCTGTGCTGACAGCTCAGAGCCTGGAGCTGCTTCAGATTCTGTGTCTCCCTGTCTCTCTGCCCTTCATCCTCTTGTGCTGTCGTTATGTCTCAAAAATAAACTTTGTTTTTAAAATTTTGATGGTTAAGATGGTAAATGTTGTTACATGTATTTTATAGCAATTGAAAACAATAATAATTTTTTTAATAATAATGTTTTAAAGCATAGATGGCTGCCCTTCCCCTGAGTTTCTGGTGCAGTGGGTCTGGGGTGGGGCCTGGGAATCTGCATTTCTTAAAAAAGCCTCCAGGCGATGCTGATGTCACTGGTCCCAGGGATCTCTAACTCAGAACCACTGATGTGGGGCAATTCCCAGAGAGATTCATATTAATGCCCCTGAAAGCTGGAGGAGGCTCTGTCTCAGTCTTGAAGGGAGAAATTGGGGAAGGTGTGTCCATGACTGAAACAGAAGAGAGATTCTGGCAAGTGACATCCCAGGCTTAAGGCCAAGGGGTGATGGGGAGATATGGGTGGTGGGATAATGACTCTTTAACCTACCTGCCTCCTTCTCCCACAGAAATGTATGACACACCCACCCTCTCTGTTCACCCTGGACCTGAGGTGAGCTCAGGAGACAATGTGACCTTCCACTGCCATCTGGAGACTGCAACAAACATGTTCCTTCTGCTCAAGGAGGGAAGATCCAGCCACCCACAGCCCAGATATGGGAACACCCAGGTGGAGTTTCCCCTGGGTCCTGTGACTACAGCCCACAGAGGGACATACAGATGCTTTGGCTCTTATAACAACTATGCCTGGTCTTTCCCCAGTGAGCCTGTGAAGCTCCTGGTCACAGGTGAGGAAGCCCTCAGCTTTCCCTCATGTGCTCTTTGGAACTCCAAGTGAACCCCAACCAAGATGAGAAGGCAGCAAAGGGACAGGTGGGAAGATGCAGAGGGTTCCTCCCACCAATGCCCTCATCCACATGCATTTTCCGGAGGCCCTGTTGATTTTTCCTGAAGAAGAAGGCCTGAGGGATGGGGTGGGAGGGTGCAGAGACCAGGTGGGAAGACCGGAGGAAACCCAAAACCCTTACTTGTTTTCTTCATTACCAGGAGACGCTGAGGACGCCAGCCTTGTGCCCACAGAACACACCTCTTTTTCTGGTGAGTAACAGGTACTTCTAAACTTGGGGGAGGGATCAAAGCCTCCAGTGCCACCACAAACATGGCGCTCACCGGAAATATCCATTGGCTGCATAGCACTTGCTGTGACCTGCAGCTCCAGCAGTCGAGCAGACAAGCATCCTTGCTTTTATCCCAGCAGGAGACAGACCATGAGTCTAAGTCAGATAAATAAACCAATTACATAGCACATGAGGAGCAAACAGTAGTGTGGACAACAGACAAAGAACAAAAGGGGTTATGGTGACGGGGGAGGGGGGGCAGGTGGCAGTATTAAATAGAGTTTTCTGAATCGACCTCACAGAACAAAAACCTGAAAGAGCTGAGGGTGTTAGTCCTGTGGCTATGCAGAGAAGGAACATTGCAGAGGGAGGGATCAGCCACTGCATTTGTCCCAAGTCAGAGGGATGGCCAGTGTGATGGAGGAAAAGAAGCCATGTTGACCGACTTAATGAGGGAGCTGAGGGTCAGGCATGAGACTTGCCCTGCTCAAAGTCCTGGGGCTGAATTCTTCTCTCAGGGCTCACCTGCCCCTTGGCTCTTCCTCTCTACCTGCCAGATGAAGCCACTAGGACCAGAAGCATGGGGCGGGGACCCAGAAAAACTGCAGAGGGACATGGGGCCTGTCTGAGGGCAGGAGAGGCTGGGACAGAGGGACCAGCACCATCTCTTTCCCCCACTTCTTCACTCTCCTTGTCATCCGCAGACTCCTGGGATCCTTACCTGCTAACCACAAACACAGCAGTCCAGCAAGGTAGGCAGGCAGAGGGAGGCTGCAGGCTGTGAAGGAGTGTGATCTGGAAAGGACAGAGGGACAGACGGGGTGAGGCGCTGCCTGACAGTGACCACTCTGTTCTTCTGACCCCAGACCTTGCCCTCTGGAATCACACTGCCCAGAATCTCCTTCGGATGGGTCTGGCTTTCCTGGTTCTTCTGGCCCTTGGGTACCTCCTGGCTGAAGACTGGCTTTGCAGGAAGAGAATGCAAGAGGAAGCCCACAGGGCTTCAAGTCAGGAACGCAGGAGAAGGTTCAGTACACAGTGACCGCTGAACAAATGGCCAAGGGATGGGCTGGCCACAGATAGAGCTGAAAGCTGACCTTGCCCTTGGGCTGTGTGAGCTCTGTGTTGTGCCCGTGGAGGGAGGTTTACCGCAAGACACCTGTGTTGGGTTTGGGGAAGCTTCCTGGAGGAGGCAGGAGGCGGGATGCAGACGTTAAATTTTTCCTGCAGACAGATTGTATTGTCTCTTCTGGGGTCTGAGCGTTTTTGTGCCTGCCTAATGCAAACCAAAGTTTTAGCCTCACTGGACTTCCCCAAAAATATCTCCCTCGTTAACAGCATGGCCACAGAATATTGCTCCCTAATTTGGTCTTTATCCATATTTCTTCTTTCCTTTTCTGCAACATGTCATTCTAGATACTTAACAACCAGTACAGAATATGCATTTGTGACCTGGAACAGGAGCCAGAGAGGCAACCACTGGTCGATAGAGATGTGGCCCGGCTATCTGAGGGTGTCCTGGCTGGGTCGCAGCCTTGCCCCAACTCCTCTGCCCCTATGCCACCACAAAGTTCTGTCTTCTTCGCTTCTTTATCCATACTTTGCCTTGTTCCTCAGGTCTCCTCCAAGAAAGTTCTCTAAACCCTCCAGCTTGACTTAAGATACCATGCCCCCAAAGCACCTATTGTTTCTCTAAAACAGCAATCGGACTGTCACCCTACATACATATCCATTTTCCTGTTTCTACAGTGAACTCGTGTGAATTAAGTCCATGTCAGATTTGATGGCTGTGCTCACAGCTCCTGCACTAAGAAAGTTCTCATGAAACACACTTCAGATCAATGGATATATAAATGAGGCTGTAGCACACACTTAGAACTTGAGATTGCTGATTATGGTCCTTGAAATGCTGTCCAGACCCTTTGTTCCTTGAGAATTTCTCCTTGACCAACCCATTAATTAATATAAGCATTTTATGGGTCCCTGCCCTCCTCAAGATTCTGACACCTCAAATGGGTCAAATCCATTCTCTAAATCTTGAATTTTCTATTATATATCAGAGAACATAATTTCCAACCTCAAAAGGGTAACATGAATATTTAATGAGATATTTAAGACTATCAAGAAACCAGCATAGGCTCAACTCAATGGTAACCCTTATTATTCCCAACTACAGGGAATTGAAAATACCACCAACTGCTATCTCACTACCAGCGGACAAATACTGAATGTTCTTTTTGTTGTTGTTCTTCTTCATTTGCTGGGTGTTCACGGTCCAAGAATTTCTGTTGAGGCTGAGTCATAGTCATCATCCCAAGATGTGATGGACTTGAGTGGAGTATGTTTGTAGTATTCCAAATATTCCATATTCTAACCGATGGCAGGAAACCTACAATTTCAAGGGGGGAAAAACATGTCATGTGTCAGGTGGAAGAATTTTGGGTCTCCAGATAAAAATGCAGGGGCTTGAGAGCCTCCTTAGAGGAATGGAGGGGTCTCTTCCACACAAGGCTGTTCTCCCCACTGCTCCAAGTCAAAATCTTCCAAAACTGGTCAACAGGACAAAGACAAATGGTTAAGTGGATTACCCTTTTCAAAATGTTAAACCTGGTTTGTACTCCAGACAGCAAAAAGAAGCACAGGGAAGAAGGGACAGAGGGAAATGAGGATGAAGTACTAGCCAATTGTTTGTTATGAGATTTATTGGAAACACTCGAAAACATTTCCATTTATTTCTCAATGGTTAGAGCCTAATAGCTTGCCCCCTCTCGGATGCCACGGAGGTTGGGAAAGGTAACCTTTATTCCAGGTGTGTGTCTGTGACAAGATAAACACCGGTATTTCTGTGACCAGTGAGTGAGGAGGGATGTGACAGAGCTCTGATAGGCACCTACAGTCTGTTACAAGAGACTACTGTGTGCTGGGCACTGATGAAGGAGCAAACATCCTTGCCAGAACAGAACTGATTGTCCACAAGCGCATATCTTAAAGAAAGTGAGTAAATGCAGTGAAAGGGGATAAGAAGAAATACAGGATGCCATAGGAGTCTCTTTCTGTGCAAAATTCCAGGACATAGAGGGGCACCTGGGTGGCTCCGTCGGTTAAGCGCCTGACTTCGGCTTAAGTCATGATCTCACGGTTCATGGGTTTGAGCCCCGCTTTGAGCTCCACGCTGGCAGTGCAGAGCCTGCTTGGGATTCTCTCTCTCTTCCTTTCTCTCTGCCCTTCCCCCGCTTGCACTTTCTCTATAAATACATAAATAAATAAACTCCATGACATAGAGACATTGAGCAGGGTGTACAGATGAGGAAAGGGATGATAGCAGTAGGTGACTGCACCAGTCCAAGCAAAGTCCCACGTATCAGACAAAGGGTGAAAATCATTCAGGATAACCCGAGCTGTGATTAAGAGAGAAAGAGAGGAGGGCACTTTGGGGATGAGCACTGAGTGTTATGTAGAAACTAATTTGACAATAAACTATTTGTAAAAAAAAATAAAATTAAAAAAAAAGAGAGAGCGAGAAAGAGAGGTTCTGGGTGACGCTGGGCACAGACAAAACCAGCAGAGCAAGCACAGCCATGGAAGCCACATCCTAAATGCAAATTTTATCCTTAAGGCAAAGGGAGCTCATTGACCATTTTGATCGTAGATGAGATAGGATGACTTATGTACTGCAGAAAGACCCCTGTTTTTGCAGAGAGAAGGGATTATGCAGGAGAAGACAAAACGATGGAGAAGCAGACAACAAAAAAGTTGAGAATGTCACCTCTTTCTAGTCTTGACAACCAGGAAGATGACTTAAAAAAAAAAATCCCGGTCACCCAGAGGGAGGCCCAGTGATGGGTGATGGGTTCTGGTCCTGAGATGTTTAATATTCACCACTTTTGTTATTTCTCGGGATAGCCAAGGTTATTCTGGGTCCTTTAGATTCCAATATTAACTTGAGGATGTAGCTTTCTCAAAAGACCAGCCTGGGCTGTGGGTGAAATTGTACTGAAGCTACAGATCAATTTAGGGAGAGTTATCACCTCTTCAATCTTCCAATCCATGCAAGCCTGAACCCTAAATGTGTTATTTTTGCCATGTATTTACATGTTCCCTGATTTCTCTAGACAATATCATGTAGTCCTGTATGTACAGAATGTGCACATCTTTTGTTAGATATCCACCAGCTATGTCCTCTGGCTATATCACCTCCAGATAGATCCGCTAGTTACATGACTTTTATTTTGTAAGTGGTACCATTCTTTAAATAATTTTACCAACATTGCTGCTGGTATTATAATATTTCATGAAAACACAGGTGTTCCTTCCTTTTTTATTTCTTGTCTTTTATATGTATCATATTTTATTACAGAATTTTTTTAGTGTTGCTATATTTAGTACTTGGAAGAAAACCTAGTTAAAGGATGATATAATGAATAAATGTGTTAACTGCTCTAATAAATAATTTTTTTCTCTCTTATGCAATACATTTTTTCTTTTATTTTTATTTATTTTTTAAATAGTTTATTGTCAAGTTGGTTTCCATACAACACCCAGTGCTCATCCCCACAAGTTCCCTCCTCCATGCCCATCACCCCCCACACACACACCCATTAGTCCTCAGTTTGTTCTTGGCCTTCAAGAGTCTCTCATGGTTTGTCTCCCTCCCTCTCCCCCACTACTTCCCCCCTTCTTCTCCCCCACGGTCCTCTGTTAAAATTGGTTTCTATATATTGAATGTGTACTCAGTGGTCTTACAAAAGTTCACTTCTTAATTTTAGCAGCTTTTGATTATTTCAGATTTCCAGATTTAAAAAAATTTAGAATTTTTTTGTAAAATTGATTTATTTTTTATTGTCTTACCACCTGGCTAGAACCCCAGCATATTAATGGATAGCAAGTATCCTTCTTCTTAGTAGTATTAGTGTAGGGAATATTTTTTCTCAAGCTTTTATTTAAATTCCAGTTAGTTAACATATAGTGTAATATTAGTTTTAGGTGTAGAACTTAGTGATTCAACACTTCCATACATCACCTGGTCCTCATCAGACGTGCCCTCCTTAATCCTCACCACCTATTTTATGAGGAATATTTTCATATTTTACCACTGAGTAAGCAAATTGCTAGAATTTTTAATAGATGCTCATTGTCCAAGTTAGGAAATTCCTTTGTATTTTTGTTCTGCTAGGCTTGATTCCGTTTGTAAATGAGAAGGAACATATCCGGTGAGACCAGTTAGGAGGCTCCTACGTTATTCTAGATGATAGTTGATAATGACTCAGAGAAGGTGAAGACCTTTGATATATTTTAGGCACAGAAGCCATACTTCATTTTACTGTTCAGAATGATGGCTGAAAATTATGGAAGCGGCCCAAGTGTCCATCGATACATCAATGGATAAGGAATATGTGGTGTGTGTGTGTGTGTGTGTATGTGTGTGTGTGTGTCTATCTATCTATCTATACATATATATATATAAAGAGAGAGTACATACATATATATAGTACATACACATAGTATATGTAGTGTGTATATATAGTGGAATATTATTCAATCATAAAAAATAATGAAATCCTGCCATTTGCAATGACATGGATGGAGCTATAATGTAGAGTATAATGTTATGTGAAATAAGTCAGAGAAAGACAAATGCCATATGATTTCATTCATATGTAGAATTTAAGAAATAAAGAAGCAAAGGAAAAGAGGGGGGGAACCAAGAAACAGACTCTTGACTACAGAGAACAAACTAGTGGCTACTAAAGAAGAGGTGGTTGGGGGATGGGGAATTAACCGATATGGGTTAAGGAGAGCACTTGTCGTGATGAGCACCAGTGCTGTGTGGAATTGTGGAATGACTATATTGTACAACTGAAACTAATATTACACTGTACTTTAACCAGCTGGAATTTATTTTTTTTTAAATATTTTTATTTATTTCTAGACGAGAGAGAGAGACAGCGTGAGCAGGGGAGGGTCAGAGAGAGAGGGAGTCACAGACTGAAACAGGCTCCAGGCTCCGAGCTGGCAGTCAGCACAGAGCCCGACGCGGGGCTCGAACCACGAACCGTGACATCATGACCTAAGCGAAAGTCGGACGCTTAACCGACTAAGCCACCCAGGCGCCCCTAACCAGCTGGAATTTAAATAAAAATTAAAAATAAAAAGAAATGATGACTCAGCAGGTGGTATTGTTAACGAGGACTCTGAGCAGCTTGGGTGGATGAAGAAGGGGACATTTCCCCC